TAGGTCAGGCTCGAATTTTTTAAAACTTTTTTCCTTATTCATCCCCTGCCAGTTACCATACATTCAAAGTTTGACAACGCGAATGTTTACAGTATTGTTGCAGGATGTATTGTTAGCATGTTTGGATATTCAATGCAGTCGCTCAACTATGCGAATTCGTTAAAAATTGTACGAAACATTAATTCGGGAAAGTATTATCGTTTTTTAAGTTCAACATCGAGAATGTTTATAGTATTGTCAGCATGTCTTTGGATACCCAATGCGGTTGCTCATCTAAGCGGTGAATTTGTTGGCATAAAAAGTTAAAACACACAGAAATATAAAAGTGCAACTGTATGGCATTTTCCAAGACTTTGAAAACGAAATTTTAAAAATGCTAATTCCTCTTCACCTCTCATCCATCAGGCCCAGGTGTTTTTCCTCAAAAATAAACTTGTTTCTTCACAGAGCTCTCGAAATTCCCTCCATCTGCTCGCCCGCTTTTTGAACAAGTCACAGCCTTCTCAAGGATTCACACGATATTCGAAAAAGGAACAGCTTAATCTCTATCGCCTGCCTACGCGAGAGGCTTAATGAAAACCATAAAAACAACCAACTCGAGAAAGAAAATGATTCACCCTTCAAAACATCAACGAAACAAAGAAACTTTAAAATTAGCATACGCAAATGAAGCTCATCAGATATGGCTGGCACGTTTGGTTCCTGTTAATAAAATCAACATCTTGCATATGGTTTTCATTCGCCATATAAATCGTTTTTCACTCTACCCTCTTTTATTTCTTTTCTCCATGGCATCGCCATAATAAATTTTAATCATTGAGGGCAATATTGCAAACAAGTCATTTTTTAAGCTTTTATTTCCAATCGTCTGCAAGCATGATTTCTTGGTTAAAACTCTGTATTTCTCAAACTACAGTGTCTATCAGCGATTTGTTGGCTTAAATACATTTTTCTATTGAGATATATAATTTCTGATATCTTTTACAATTTTTCACTGAAATTTTTTGGCGTCTAAGCAAACTTTACCATCTTTTAAAAAATTTAATTCACTTTTTGTTGTTGCATGAATAACGCTCTGTAAAATAATTTTCATGCCCGACTTTCTTCGACGTTGTTCTTCGCTTTCAGGTAAACCAAGTGGCCTGTTTTAATTTAAAAACAACCTTTATATGCTAATTGGTGACTTATATCAAGAGTTCTCAGCTGGCAGCCAGTCTTAGCATCGCCAACTACCTCACACGCTCAGCAAAAACGAACAAATTAATCGTAAAGATTTAAGTGATGTTTGTAAACTTTTCTGTTTAATAGCCGGTGCAAGCTATACCCAAATGGAAAATCGAAGAACCTGTCAGCTTCTGGGCACATTTCTACAAAATCAGCTGCCTCACGAAAAGAATAATCCAAAATTGCGATGAAGGTTTTTAAAAGAAGAAGAGAGACTTTCCTTTCATACCAATCGCTATAGGTGTTGGATTGCGCCTGCATTAGCCATTAAACGCGGAGTATGAAGTAGTCCCAGGCCACTGCGGGTTTATAACATAAACATAGCCGAAGTGAAAGTAAGAGCTGTACGTCAAGAGTATCTTGTGAATGTTCCTTAGTGTTTCTCGACAAGAGAAGAACTTGGACATGGACGGGACAACTGTTCGTCGCCTGAGCTTTACTGACGTTTTAAATGTGTCTGTGTTCAGTGGAGCATGCATCTTTATCGCGTTGCTCGCGTACAAGCGATTTACAGAACATCCCTTGAACAGCCGCCTCAGAAAGGCTTATAAAGTCGATGAATTCATTCAAAAGCAACTGGCATCGAATCTTTACCGAGAGGATTTCGACTTACTTCCATCTGTGATGGGAAAAGATGACGATTTATACTCAATCGAGAAATGTGGTAGCGTTATGGAGGGCTATGGCTTTTTCTCAGTGGATGTGACAGGAAGCGAACAAGACATCGATGTAATGGTTTCACCAAAGATTCTGAGTGTTAGCGAAGACGACATTGACGTTAGCCGTACTCCTGTTGGGTTTGTGTGGGTGCAAATGCAAGAAATGGTACAACGGATAAAAAACTCACGATCAGAATTATTCCAAGTTTTGAAGAAAGCAAATCAGCAATTTGTAAGTGCAAGTGCAATTTACAGTCATTTCCTTCGAGCCACGCAAGAGAATTTTAACGATGGCGACTTCGACGTCATACAGAATGAACCGGCTATAACATTGAGAGCAAAAGAAATTCATGCACAAAGGTATGGTTACATGGGAGTCATTGATATTGCTGTCGCCTTGAGTTTCTCTGGTTGGCCTCGGAGCGCAGTAGAATGGCTGAATCGAGAAAGCAGAGATTTCCGGCTTCTAAGCACTGGAATGATACAAAAAATTGCTAAAGGTGGCTGTCATTTGGTATACAAACCATCAGGTTCCTCTGAAAATTCCCAGTTAGATTGGAGGTTTTCATTCTCTAAAGCTGAGAGAATATTGTTCCAGTATCATAGTGACAAACACGCTTTGAAACTGTGTTACATCATGTTGAGGTATGCTTACAAGAAACATCTGAAACCAAGACTGGGAAACAAAAAGATTTTAGCGTCGTACTATTTAAAGACAATTTTCCTTTGGCTTGCCGAGACAGATAACGGCCTTGATTACCATGACCTCGCCAATCACCGCTTAGGCGCATTGTTTGAACTTATGGTGAACAAACTGAGGGAGGTTTACAGCAAAAAATTCTTGTCCCATTACTTCATTAGTCATTGGAATCTGTTGCGTGACCTTTCGAAAGCAGAGCTTAATCACGTGCAAGGCCTTCTAGATGATCTTTCACGAAATAAAAAGGAGTATATCAGTTACATTCAAGACATAAGAGGGCATATTTTACCCTTAGCCAAGCAATCTGGAGGAGCTTATAATGAGCTTCTCACAATTATTGACGAATCTACTACGAGACATACTCTTTTCCAAGCTTTTTATATTTCGAGTTTCGTCTTTGCAACACTCGTATTTTTTAAGTGCGTTCTGAATGCTCTCTCCCTTGACATAGCACTGTGTTCAGTATAAGTATTTTTCAAGAGGAGTGTCTTACTTTATCTTACCCAAGTGGATATAAATACCTTTGTTTGCACTGTACAAAAGTATCAGAAACATGTAGAGAAAAGATACACTTCAATGAACCTTACAAGCATCTAATTTTTTTCCTACGATATCCCTGCTAAATCAAACATTAAGGTAATAAATGAAGGAGATTATCGCTAATAAAAGAAGCACTTGATTGCTAAACAAAGGCTCCATGTTTCAGTATCATGTATAAAAACTGCATGGATAATATACATACTAATGTCAGGGTGTAGAGGGTTAAATTATTACTCTATGCCCTCAACGTGAACATATAACGTAACACTAAGCCTTTTGTTAAAAGTGGTGATTAAGGTCCAGTAAAAAAACAAACCAAATAGTTCTTGCTACAATGACCCAGGTTACGCGAAATTTGTTCTTGCAGTTCTATTGGCAAGGTATTATAACATGGTTGACCAAAGTCAGTTAGTGCCGGTTCTTTATGCAAATTTTGTAAGATTCGGGAACAAGCACGACTCCCACGATACCAGAAAGCTCGGGAAGCTGTGTCTCTGGTGCTGGCTCGAACTTGAACTGATGCAGAAGCCTGGACGTAACTAGAAACAGCTCTATCTTGGCCAGCGACTCGCCTAAACACACTCTTCTTCCGGCGCTGAAAGGCAGGTAACTTCGATAACCATTGGGGCCTGAAACCGAGAAGTTTCCTTCAACATCAAGAAACCGTTCGGGTTTAAACACGTCCGGATCTTCCCATTCCTTTGGATCGTGATGAATCGCCCATAGATTTGTCATCATCATTGTATCCTTGGGGATGTCATATCCCCCCAGCGAACTCTTCCGTGTTGACTTGTGAGGGATCGATAAGGGGGTGGTGGTTGCAATACGCAGCACTTCTGCCACGGTACTTTCCAAATAAGGAAGACGACCTCGATCTTCGAGTCGCGGTTTTCGATCACGACCAATGACATCATCCAATTCTGCATGGACGCGCGATTGGATATCTGGGTAATTAACCATGTAAGCTAGTAACCATAGCAACGTCGCTATAGTGGACTGAATGCCAGCGTTGAATACGTCATTTATTATCATTACCAAATGGTCCTCCGTCAGTACCTGCGAAATTTTTCCGTCTTCTTCTTGCGCTTCGTAAAAAGCTTTTAAGAGCGCATCGGTCAAATCTTGGATTTTTATGTCTTTTTTGTTCGCACTTTCTTCAAACTTCTTTTTGTGTTCGTGGTACTTGGTATCTAAGACTGCGTCTCTTAATTCTTTTGCCTCTCTAAGGATTCGACTTTCTTCAATTGGAAAAAACCGCAGCCATGGAAGCATTTCGAGAATGTTAAAACCTTTGAAAAGGCGAATGAAGTGATCGTTATACTTTATAATTCGCTGGAATTCATCGTCGTCGAGTGCATAACTTTCTCCATAAGTAACAGCGCAAATCACGTTTAAAACCATTAGGCTGATGTCATCTTTGGGATCGATCGCATTTCCTTGATGAGCGGAGAGTCGATCTAACATTCGTCCTGCTTCATCGCAGATCCTCACCTCTAGCTGTTTGAGACCGCTTCCGTACATGCGTAGAGCAGAATGAACCAGCTTCCGTTGCAAAATCATGGTTTTTGAGAAATCCGCAAAGAAAATGTCCTTAGCTTCTCGTGTGAGAAAATCTCCGATGAATGTTCGAGGCCTCCCAGCGAAATCATCCTTCTTGATCAGCAAGGCCTCACGGGCTAGGTCTACGGAATTTATTAGGATACACCGCTGACCTCCCGGTAAGTATAGCGTGAGGATCTTCCCATATTCCTTTGCGAGGTCAGTCACGGCCAAGTGAATCGATTTTCCTACCAACTGAGTCAAATTGCCTATCACAGGGTACGGACGGGGACCCGGGGGAAGATTTTTGGGCGTCGCAGGGGCAAGAAAGAACCACCACCCCAATGAGAGGAGAAAAATGGAGATAACGGCCTCCAAGATCATGTTGGAACTGCAAGACAAATGAGAACAAAAGCATACAATAATGAAGAAAGATCTACTTGAGTTTTGTTGGGACTAACATACAACAGAGTAAGTATGCATTGGTTCAAGCGCGCGCGTAGGACCTGACTTTTTCTTTTACAGTCTCGGTTTACCTTTTCTATTCGCAGCTATTATCGTTCCTTTATTTTAAATATGAAATGTTATCGTTTAATTTTTTTTACTCAGCCAGCTATGAACTGGAGAGTTTCTTCTGCAATGCAGCATGTGATAATTCGTACAAAGGCCAAAGTTTCGTTTAAACATTTTATTTCATAGATCGTCAAAAAACATATACCAGAACAAAAGGCGTGGCTAAGGCTGTCAATCAAATTTGAAACGAAACGATCAAATGACATGATAGCATAATACCGTAACGCACGATATCCGTCACGCAATACAAAATTAGAATGAACAAGTTCGTGTCAGACTCATTCCAGGGTCCTATTAAATTCTTTTTTCATTTAAATTGATCGCATAAGTTCCTGTTTGCGCATTGTTTGATTATCTGATGCGTTCAATGCTTTACAGTCTTGCAGTTTTTTTTCTCTACTCTGCGGGGGAGGGGGAGGGGAGAGGTTAGCTTTACCCCTGAGTGGAGCAATTTACCATGGCAACTAAGTCACTAATGACGTAAACCGTTCCAATAAAAGAAGGAATGGAATCTCGGCTCTAACAACTCACGTCCTCAATAGTAACTAGAATTTTAGCATCAATTCGCATCAAAAAATAAAATGTGCTCTTTCATGAGATCAAAGGATTTGCTCTAGTGTTACGAGTGATTTCTATTTCGCATCACTTTCCCATAGAGCCACTTAGTTCGATCTTCAAAACGCCTGATTTGTTTTAGCAACGACACGCGATCATTAGTCACGACTACATAGAGAAGAATAACCACAACCGTGATTAACCATCCAAATTTCTTTAAGCTTTGTGGTCAAATATTCATCATTTCTTTTTAATGGCTAGTATCTATTTTTTTCGAAGGTTATGGGGGGAAAGTTCAACCCCAGATCATCAAAAAATATTGACATCGTTTAGCGGCGATGAGCGAAACTTGGTCTTGTCACCGCAGAGTGCACGTAAACAGTTCATTGTTCGTCCCCATGGTCAGTCAATGACCCTTGCAGTTATTCTCAGCAGAGATAATGTTGTTTATGGTTATAAAAAGAGTAAAGACGGTATACCTCACCTTTTGGCTCTCTACTAATCGGTAGGTGTCCTTAGCAGTTATTATCTAGATCATTACGTAAGTGTTCCGTCGCGCAACCGCGACCCTAATCAGTGTTGGGCCTGGTGTTGCGTCAAGCCGTTTGTTATCACACGGCGGACACTTATTATGAGGAGTAGGGAGAGGTAGAATTCGTTGCATGTGCCCGTCGTGACCCGTTTGCGCTGCGAGGCCAGGGAAACAATAACGTTCTTATTTATTCCCAGCGGTGAACGACATGACCAATGCGTGATTGATACATGTCTCGCATATCAAATTGTTAGTACTTTGCGCTCAATCGTTCCAGACTGTGCGAAAGCAGCCCAAAGCGAGACTTTTTGTCTCCAATTCAGCCATTAAGTCTCCGTGAAAGGTAAGCATGATGAAAATTGTCACTGAATTGTTGCATTATATGACATTTAGTACCAAGTTACGCTCTAAAGGTCAATGGAGTCAAATATACGCCCACGACGAAATTTGTCTCTTTGCGAAATAGCGATAAACGCTTTCAAAAAATAGAAAATCTCGTACATTTCAATGGTTATAATAAATCAATTACATAGTATGGAATAGTTTAAATTCCTTAATTTCGAGGAAAACATTTGACAACTGGACTCGGAGTATTTGTGAAATCGTGTCCTGAAGTAATTACCATTTACATTCGTAATACTGAAAAGCGGCAATCGCAAATTTATTACCAACGTAAGCAATAATAGCATTGCCCAATAAGGTGTGTTTCGAGTCTGTCGAGAGGAAAGCTTAAAATTGAGGAAAACATTCGACTGCCGGACACGGAAATTGTTTTGTTTGTTCGTGTCTGGAAGCTTGCGGCAAACAGTTGTACCCGATTTACATTTGTGAAAACAACAAGTGAATCGTGAATTTATTAGTGACGTAAACAAAACGGTCTTGCGTATTATAATTCGAACTTAATTGCGCAGTAAAACTTGAAATTGAGGAAAACTGTCGACTGCCGAACACGGAGTATTTGTGAGCTTGCAACAAGCCTCTAAGTCACTGATTTAGAAACTAAGTCAGTCTTAATGAACACAAAGCGCCGAGCTTATGCAAAGCTCGCAGTTCTGCGGTGGAAATCGTGGCGCGTCCAGCTATCTTAAAATGTATTTGATAGTATGACTTGAAATAACTAAATATTTTCGACTACCGGATATGGAGTCTTGTCAAAAACCTGTCTGGCTGCTGGACATCTAGACACATCGTTTACCTGGGAAAATTAACTCGACTTGTTTTTACCGAAACAAGGAATGAGCAAGAATGATCTATAACGAGAAAAAAATAAGTGAAATTTCACGACTGGGGTGGCATGAAAGTGTCCGCATTTTTGTAATGAGGAGAGTCCGTAATAACGGGAGTTGTTTCAGTCATTTCTTTGAGCTTTTCGCCGGGGGTCTGGCTCCTATCCGCAGTGGCGGGGTGTCTGCAGGGCAAGAGTCGACTGTACTTTTATACTTCTCTTCTACCGCTCTGTGATTTGAAAATTTTGAAAATCTTTCAATTTCAGCTGAAATAATACTACTGACATGTATTGGGAAGCATTGATTCTCGTTGCAATTTCCAGTGTGGTGTATCTTTTTGCGGTGAGCCGCTGGTCAAAACGAAAGTACTGCTTTCCCCCAGGACCGCGCCGGTTACCTCTGATCGGTAACCTGCTAGACATGGCAAAATTCAACCACGTGACCATGCAAAAGTTCGGGAGACAATATGGTAAGATTTACATGATGACAGTAATGAGGCAGAAGATGTTTTTTGTTACTGATATTGAGTTGGCGTGGGATGCCCTTATTCGCAGAGGAAACATATTCGCAGGAAGGGCAAAATTTTTTATCAATGAAGGCCTACAACCAGGAGGAGCATCCATCGTTTTCAGTGATTATGGACCGCGCTGGAAGCTGTTACGAAAAGTCACCCATTCAGCTCTTCGAATGTTTGGAAGCGGTGTGCAAAACCTGGAGGAAAAAGTTCAACGTGAGGTGGCTGATATATGCTTTCATCTAAGAGAGTCACAAGGTGTCCCTTTCAATCCAAAGAAACGTCTCGCCCTCGGAGTGACAAATGTGTTATTTTCGTGCCTTTTTGACACGCGTTTCACGGCTGAGGACGAGCATCTGGAAGAATTCCAAAAGTTGAACGAAGATTGCATGCGTCTTCTTGGAGTTGGTACGTTGCTTGACATGTTTCCTTTCATGAAATATCTTCCGCTGAGCATTCATAAACGCATTCAAAGTGTCTACAGCCTGAAAAAAAAACTTCTCTGGCCTTTCGTCCAAAAGCACAAACAGACGTATGAAGAGGGTGTCATCCGGGACATCACAGATGCCCTTTTTAAGGCAAAGTACCAGGCGGAAAGGGAAGATTCCAAAGTGAGAGGCATGTTGAATGACACTTTGATTATGGAAACGCTGTCAGATCTCGCTATCGCTGGCTCAGACACAACCACAGAGTTTTTGACCTGGTCTCTTCTTTATTTGGCGTCCTTCCCAGATGTCCAAGCGAAGATACATCAGCAGCTCGATGACGTCATAGGCCGCGACCGTCTACCTCGCATGCAAGATAGAGGCAGTTTGCCATATTTGGAGGCCACCATCTCGGAGATCATACGTCATAGCTCTTTTGCCCACGTTAGCATCCCTCATCGAGTGCGAAGCGACACAACCCTTGGAAATCACGACATTCCAGAGAATTCTCAAGTGATTTTCGACCTCAGAGCTATTCATCACGACCCGAAACATTGGAAGGAGCCTGACGCATTTGACCCAACGCGTTTCTTGGACGAGGAACGTAACTTCATTTGCCCGGCCACCCTCAGTTTCATTCCATTTGGTGGCGGTCCTCGTGGTTGTGTGGGTCAGTCCTTGGCTAGAATAGAGTCGTTTTTATTTCTAGCTGGCCTTCTTCAGCGTTTTAAATTTGAGTTTCCCCCAGACTCCTCCCAGCCAGATTTGGAACCACCAGTGGACCCGATACCACGGGATGTCTTGACACCCAGTCCCTATAAACTGTCTGTGACTGAGAGACAATGAAATGCAACTTTGGCTCAGCTTGTAACTGGCGATAGCAACATAAACGGTGATAGCAAAATTGTGATAAATCAA